CCTTTCTGGTATTTTTTGAGTTAAAAGTATTATATATATTTACCTTGTCATATTAATTTTAACCATTTGTATGGATATAACAAGACAAAAATTGTGAGAAATAACATTTTTCATAACTTTAATTTAAAAATATCATTTTTTATAATTTTAATTATTTTTAATGAATTTTTGACATGATTGGATAGCAATACTTTTTAAAAAATTTTAAACAAATTAAAATAATTTCGATTTTCTTTATCCCATCATTTAAACAAAAATTTCAAAATTAAATTTCGATGTTAAATATTATCTATTTTGTCATCCAACTTTTTCTCACAATTTCAAAGAGCAAAAATAATATCAAGATATGTGTTTTAGGTTCTTAAGTTTATTGGTTTATATTTATAAAATCCTAAAGTTATGGGGTTGGTATTGATTAGACATATTTATAAATTATAATACTCTATGACTTTGATAACTTAAATCCGATTATGAGCAAGCAAATCAATTAGTTAGTAGATATTGCATTATTAATTTTTAAATATTATGTCATTAGTTTTTAAGTATTGTAAGATTGGTTTTAAGTATTACATGATTTAATCATTACGTTTTTTATTTTTAAGTATTGCGTGATTAAATTGTAAGAATTACGTGATTGATTTTTAGGTAATACTTAAAAATTAATCACGCAATACCTTACAACTGTTACATAATGCCATATCAATCAGTCACACAATACGTAAAAATTAATTACGTAATGCCTTAAAACTAGTCATACAATGCTTAAAAACTAATCGCGTAATGTCGAAAAACTAATTACAAAAACCACAAAAACTATTGAATTCTATTTAACAAAATCAATAACTTCAAACAATACACCATATTTTATTTAACAATATAATCAATGAATATGTCTACTTTATGAAGAATACTCAAAATGTTTCAAAGTTTTTTTTCATACATCAAAAGTCACTCCAAAATACTTAAAATGTTCAAAACGCTCAAATATTTTTTTTTCATATCAAAAACTATTTCAAAATATTTAAAATGTTTAAAGTTTTTTCTTTTTGGTAAATAAGACTCTTAAGATGAATGGTCTAACAAATAAAATTTAAAAGATATGAATCAGTTCGAAGGGTGAATCTAAATATATAAGTTAGTTTTATTACAGATAATTTTGTTTAAAATTAATTTTTTTCACTAAAAGTAATTAAAATTATAAAAAAATTATTTTCAAACACGCTTTATTTATAAGAGATATTTTTAAAGAGAATCTTACAATATAAATATATATGCCGAGATCGATTCATACATCACGTTTGCACCGCCCAAACGCTACTTTTTATTCCTTTTAAAGATAAAGGTTAAAAATCATGTCACCTGTTTTGTAGTAATCAAAATTTCAAAGCCCTTGAAACACAAAATGTGGCTTCTCGGGGCAGATTGGAAACTTCCTTTTCTGGGTATTTTAAAATGAAACAAGTTAGATCCATTCTCGGAAGATCAATGGAATTAGTTGAAAAATGCACCACGTTTTGTGGGTTAATATGGCCACGACATCCTCTCTTTCTCTCTCTCTCGAGTTGCTGCGTACACCACACTTCGCAGCTAGATTGTCGGCATATCAATAAGGTTTTAGATCTTTTTAAATTGGTCAATGAAATTCATTTGATAATTCTTTATCATGTTCGCTTCTTATATTTATTACAACTTTTTGGTAGGATAATTCAAGAGAGAGACACGAATGCACCAACTTGGTCAAAAATGGCATGGTGAAAAAGAAAAAAAGAAAGAAAGAAAGGCGAGCTGGCCGTTTGATTAATTAAAGAGACCTCAGCAATACTCCTTTGCAGATTCTAAGGGTCAAGACTGAGCAGGGAAAAGAGCCCTTGGTGTGTATGAACGTTGGCTGAATAGTGAAGACGAAGCCTGTCCCCTCGTAAATTAATGTTGAAGAGGCCATTGGTGTTGTTCCCTTCTTTTCTTACGCGCGCCCTGAGGTATATGTACGTTCCCAATAGAACACCCATTCAATCATTGAAGCTCGGGCGTCGTTCTGTCAGCTGGTTAAACACTGCTAAAACTCATTAATCCGAATAAAACAAAAGAGTTAATCTCTCAGGTTAGCTACAGCAGAATTATGGGTACAACCCTCAACCTCTCAGCTATGCTAATGCTATACTGTTAACTAATATGATTTCACATTAATCATGTAATTAATTACTGCATATGGTTTTGAGTTAAGACAAATCTTTTTTTTATCTGAAACTTTTAAATTAAATTCTTAACTTTTGATCGTTGAACTGCTCCTTCAAAAATAATACTTCATCATTTAAATAAATATAAGAGATCAATCCTAAAACTTTAATGGGTACTTTTTCTCTTATAATGCTAACTTTGCCAAATATACTCACAATTTGTACACAAATAAACATTGCTATAAAATAGAATAAACCTACATCATGCAAACTAAATAGGAGAAAGATTCTAATGAACAGGTTTTTAGCTAACGGTTGTACCATCTATAGACTCCCTACTAATTTTTTTATTGCTACATTAATTAATGAACCCCTAGTTTGCACTATATGCAGGTTGGATACGCGCTCTAGTAATGGTGGGCATTGCCAAAACTGCATCAATCTATCTAGATTATAAAAGGAAAAAGCTCAGAAGTGGGACACTGGGCTGCGCTCCCTTAAGCAACAGGTGCAGGGTTGCAGTTCGAGTTTTGCAAGTAGAGAGAGCACGTGGGTCATTTTTTATGGGCAGCAAAATTTAATTTTTCAAGACAACCTTTTTGTGTGCTAACAGAACTGTTACACGTGCAGATGCTTGCCTTCTGTGTTTTCCTTTTTAGTCGTAGAGAGAAAGAATCCAAATTGGACTCCAAAAACATTAATTTAGTTTACTTATTGAGGACAAGGCATCAATCCATGATCGAGAGGATGGGAAAAGGAGAACAAGTTATTATATTTGCTCTTGACAATGTTATTTGCATGCCCGGAGATCTGACCACTTCAAACAATTTAAATATTTCCTGTGGGAAATAAATAATCAACAAATTGGCCAAGAGTATACTGTTTTCTTAACCAATAAATTTATATATATATCTCAGAGAATCAGTGGTGACAGGTGAAAGGAATCTTCAGCTTCAAATTTAATTGGCTTCAAAATTTCTGAACGCAGATACCTTAACTAGAAAATTAACAGTGAAGCGTGCTTGCATGGGGTGTTGGGTGGTGGCTTGTTAGATGGTAGTAGGTAAAGTGTTGCAAGTGAGTTGATGGACCATTTATCACTGGTGGGTAGCTGGAAATATTGGAAAAGGACAAGCAGCGAAAGCTCGGTTTCATTTCCTAGTTCCTTTTGATTAAAAATGTGGTTAACAAAGAACCGAAGAAAGAAAAAGGCCTTGGACCTCCTCCTAGTCATCATGAGATGAACTATTTCTACTTTCTAGGATTCCACGAACCCAATATACTACTACTTAATTGCATATTTCATCTCTAGTTTATTTAATTAGCATGAAGTTTTACTTTATTAATTTGCCCAAAGCATTCTGTTCTTTAAGTATCATCATGATTTATCAAAACCCAAATCCCTTTAAATAATTCCATGTCGTTTGCATAGCCAAATGCCAGACCTTTACTGGACAAATCACAGTTCACTTTCCTGAGATTCTGGTGCAGTTACTTTCATTCGCCTTTGTTTCCTCTTTTCTTCCTTCCACTGAGATCTTCACTGTCACTGCAAGTGGCTTTGAAGACATTTTTGCGAGGACCTGCATCAATCTTCCGACATTGTCAAAAATCAAAACAGATAAAAGATTTTGATCCACTGCTGTCAAATTCTTGGGGTGTAAACACTCCAAAATAATGTTGCGGAAGCCTGGTCCATGCTCAGAATGCGATTGCAGACAAGGACTAATCGTTTGCCTTGGCCTTGAGCAGGATATATCTGAAGCTGATATAATTATATATATATATATATATATTTATGAACCTTTCATGGGCTTGGGGAATAAGTTTTGGTGGTTAAGACACACTTGTGGATGTGGTAGCTGGCTTTCATGATGGTTGTTGTACGTGAACTTCACGTGCTTTTGGTGTGAAGTTGATGTCATCTGCAGGTTCAGTATACGATTTTGGTTTGTCGCAGTGGAGGAGAAAAAGATGTCTTATCATTTTCGGCGTCTACTTAGCAAGCAAAGGACAAATAACCGAGCAAGTAGGATTAACATCCTTTTCCGCTTCCAGTGGCCTTTTCATACACTGTTCTGATTTTGGTTCTCCTGGCTGGTGGATTCTTTGGGCGACTTCGAAATAGCTTCTTCTAGTTTTGGGGGGGCCTGGAGTTGCCAATGATTTTGGCCCGATTGGCTCTGATCCCTTTGGGCTTTGGCTTTTCCATCCAATTAAGACAGTCTCGTTATCAATGCGCTGTTTCCTGCAGACTCATTTTGATCACCTGGGCCTAGTTCTTTTGGCAGACCTTCCTTCCCAGAAGAAAACCAGAAGATAGGTTCTTCTCTTGTATTTTACAAACATACACTACAGATTGGTAGCAATTTGCCATGTAAGGAAACATACTATACGTCATTCAACGACATGAGAATTCGTCCAAAAGGAAATATTTGTTTTTCGGTGCTGCACACCCTTGGTAATTAATAATTGGATGGTGAAACAACATTGTTTTCATATCAAATTAAATGTTCTTTTTTTCTTCACTAAGACCTTTGACGCGCACCGGGCTGGCAAAATCTTCCTAACCTAATGTACTGGAAGGTTGTTAAGAGATCGATGGAATGCCAGATCCTAAGGAACCAACTAGAGTTGTGCATAGGCACACATTGTTGCTATGATCAAGATTGCCAATCCCACAACACAGATTCTGAGTTAAATGCATCTAAAAACAGTCAAGGCGCAAGGATGTGCAGACATTACACAGTAAGCATTTTACAATAGGTCTTTGTCAACATACCAGATACAGGCCGATACTACCTAAGGTGTTGAGTCAGTGCAACCAGGAGAAATCAATTTGATATATATGAGAATAAAATCCAAGATATAAACAAGTTTTGTTACAATAAAAATCGGACTCTTGAAAAGCAATCTGACAAAACAATATTTTGCCAACTATGAGCAGCAAACACTGAAACAAGGCAAAAATGCCCTCCAAAGTTCTCAGATGATCAATCCTTTTCTTTTTCACATCTAAAGCTCCGTGTCACAAAATCGGATCATTAGGTCAGAAACAATTCTCCTAGCAAATGGAATGTAGCTCAGACAGTACCTGAAACAACTCAAATAGAATTATATAACTATTCTAGATAAAACATTGAGAATGCAAATCAAAACTTAGTGGGATCTTCCCATAAAGATAGAGTCTTGAACATTATAAAATTTAAGTTGTAAATTATACCTCCAAGGAAACCAATACAAAACACCAAGAAATTTTCACAAAATTGAAATGAATAAATGTGGAAGGCCAACTTACCAAATAAGCGCACAAATCTCACATATGATTGCAAGTAATGTTAAGATCTCGCTCTGGATCTGCCAGATGAAAAGTTCAAGAAATGACAACTGATTCATGATAATTAAATTGTATCTTGAATAAGTTATAATTCCGATGCTGAAAAAAATAGAACTAACAAGAAACCTTACAAACATTGGCAACGATGATCAATGGCACAAGGAGAACTACAATCATGTTCTAATACAGTTTGGGAATGTCACTTTTCATTACCTTAGTGAAGTCTGTCTCTCTACAAATTATGGTGTGTGCAAACTTAGCATGGGGGATTTAAACAATTTCACATCAAGCTATCATGGCTCACTCAGAACTTCTTATACTCAAACTACAGGTCTTCATAGATTCAAACTTCATTCGTTACTAAGGGTGCTAGAATTGTTCTATGGCCTATCACTGGTTCCAGCCAGGAAACTCACCCAGAGAGCACAAATGAGGGCTAGAACAACAAATCCAATGTAAATGGCTGTTGCATAAAGACGAACAGAATCAAACATCATACGTAGCTGTTGCTCAGGTCCCATGAGGAATGCTGTGCTGCCAAACAATATGACAAACTTAAAATCTGAGAAACCTTGAGAGAGGCAAACAGTTTAGTATAAGTTGAACTATACAAGGAACCATTCATCACCGACACTTCATTATCTAGAAGCCTATTCAATTGAGACTTTTTGAGTCATGGACTGAACATCAGAAGAGCTACTGACATTAACTACTCGATTTTCTGGTTTGGCAAAATTGGTTTCAGATTGACACAATGTTTCACCAATTATTCAGCAGTAAAGGCAAGGATGGCTAAAAGTTGAAACAATGTTCTTGTGTTATGATGTCCAGAAGCATCATTTGATACTCAATTAAATCAAACTATTTTTTCTGAGAATATATAGTTGAGAAGTCTGTTTAAATCAGGGAATGCATCAACTACCTTCCAACTGCTAACACATTGCCGAAGGTGAACAATAATGCAAATTTGATGGGTTTGACAAACACAATAAGTGACTGCAAAAGAAACAATAAGTTGAAAGATAATGCCACAAATTTATCAATATTAAAATTTTAATGCACTTACTTTACAGCTACAACTGAGCTATAATGTTCTCCAAGATGAATCCATAACACATATCACCGGCACCCGTTTACCTTAGAGGTCTCCAAAATTCTAAAATGTAAAGGTCAACCATGCTAATATTGATTGAACCATTAATGTCCTGGAATCCCACTTGAGATTTTTATCGTTCAATCGAATTTCAAATGGCGAAAAGGAGAAAGCAACAAAGAATACAAGGATCATACCAGAAACATAAGAACAAGACCAGAAAGTAAACAAGCGGCAAATGCGTACATCCTCTGCTCCACACAGGAAAACACCCAAATTAAATTACAGAAAAGAAACACCAAATTCTAAGTGTTACAAGCAATGAAGTAGGCAGAATACCTGCGTAGGGGAGAGAGAGCAGAAGCCTTCAGATTCTTCACCTAGGAAGCTTTCTGCTCTCTCTTCTTCATCACCCCCCGACATGTAGTCCTTCATTTTCCACATTTCTTCACTTCACTTCCCTTCGCTTCCCTTCCTATATCTCCATTGCCACCGTGAATTAAGAAGGAGATGCTTTTCTCTTTTCTTTTTTACCCTCTCTTATTTATTGGATAACCAAATGTTGAAAATTATAACCTTTTTCTTCTAATAATTAAATAAGCTAAACCCGACGTGCCACGTCATGAATTAACAATATAAACTTATGGTGCTGGATAAGTACGACGTCGTTTCTTTTTTAATTAGGAAAAGGTCGATTTTCTTAAAAAACTGAAATTTATTTTTGCCCGGTAGCCATATTGCAAAAAAAACGCAAAATAAAGCACCGCCCCTGCTGCAACTGCAAGTGTCGACTGCGAGAGAAACCCTAGACTGATCGAACCGGCTACCTACACCGGAAACCGAGATGTCGTCGACGCTACTCGAGGTGACTCGTGCGGCTCACGAAGATGTGGAACGCCTCGAGCGGCTCATAGTGAAGGACCTACAAAATGAGCCGCCTTCCGGCAAAGACCGCTTGTACCAAAGCCACCGTGTCCGCAATAATATCGAAACCATCATCGCCACCAGCGAAAAGCTTGTACTTCCTCTTCATTTTTTGTAAATTGGGTTACGGTTAAAGTTTTCTTTTTTCCTTTTTCTTTTTACGAAAATATATTTATTTTTTGAATGGCTTCAGGTTGAGATATATGAAGATAGAGATAATGCGAGGAAAGACGAAATTGCTGCTCTTGGAGGCCAAACCGCTACAGGGACTAACGTCTTTAGCGCTTTTTATGATAGATTGAAGGAGGTAACTTTTTACTCCTTTCTTCCCTTTTCTTTATAACTTTGAAGCGAAAATGCTAAGCAGGAGGTTTCCAAAGTCCTGCCTTGTTTCAGAAGCATGAATAAATCTGAATGATTTTCACAATTATTCAATCAGCAAAAGCGCATAAATAACATCCAAATAAGTGTTTATTGAAGTAATTGTTGCACAAATGCAGATTCGTGAGTACCATAGAAAGCACCCTGCTGCTCGTGTTGTTGATGCTAATGAAGAGTATGAGGCTTTGCTTAAAGAAGAACCAGTTGTCGAGTTCAGTGGCGAGGTCTCTATCTCTCACACAGTCACAATTTGGCACCTTTTGTTACACTAAAATCCTATCTTATATTATGTTTCTTTCTGGATTCTGGTCTTACTTGTTAGCAATTTATTGGTGTTTCTTTTTCAGGAAGCCTTGGGTCGGTACTTGGATCTGCACGAATTGTTCAATCAGTACATTAATTCTAAATTTGGAGCCAAAACTGAATACTCTGCTTACCTTGATGTATTCTCACGGCCGCATAATATCTCTTGGAAACTGAAGTCAACTATGTAAACTTTCCTCAATTCTGTTTTTAGGGTTTCTTTCCTAAGTTGATTTGCCACAGATTAATTGTTTTCTGGTTTTCTACTTATTTGGCATCCTCCTACTGTACCTTATTTGCCAATATTATCTACTGCAGGCAATACAGGGAGTATATGCAGAATCTGCTGGAGTATCTGATATACTTTTTTCAAAGGACGGAACCACTGCAAGATCTTGACAGAATTTTTTCAAAGGTTCACATATTTGTTTAAAGTTACTCACATATCTTTATCGAAAATGAGATTCTAACCTTGAGGACATTATGATGCTAAATGCTGCTCAAAGCCTTTTTTGTAACATAAGGTTATTGATTTAATTTTTTTAATTTATGCATAAGTCTATGTCTTGAGCTATATCAATAAAAGAGCTTATGTTAAAGTAGAAAGGCAGACACCCCCCAATCCCAGGTTACTAACTAACCCTCGTGCTCATTCTATTTTATGTAATTCCAAACTCAAACGTCTAATCCACTCTCTTTTTTTTTTTTTTGAAAGGCCTCTAATCCACTCTTTCACCAGCTAATCCATAAGGAAGTTGACTTTTCCAACTGTACCTTTGTCTTTCTCTAGGTCTAGATCTAGGAGTTGGCTTGATTTAAATTACTAACTCCTATGCAGTGACTTCTAATCTGACCTTGCTTTGAACTTAAAATGGAATTTCCGTTTGTAAGAAGTTTATGTTTCTAGTAAATTAACACTTTTGTGGTGGTTTCTGATAGGTTGAGGCTGGGTTTGAGGAGCAATGGGCTGATGGTCAGGTACAAGGATGGGAGAAACAGGGTCAAGAAAATGGAGATGATCCTGCCCAGCATACCATGATTGATCTTGATTATTACAGCACAGTTGAAGAGCTGATGGAAGTGGGTCCAGAAAAGTTAAAGGAGGTAATTGCATTCCTCTGTGATCATGTCATCATTTCTAGCCAGTTTTTGATCTAGTAACTGCAATTTCTTGTATTCAATGCTTAGAAATGTGTGGTTGTCCATCCTTCTTTAGACAAATGCATGCTTAAGTTGCATTAAAGAGAATAATAAAGAAACATGTTGCTATTGTATTCCTTCATCTTGTCACTGTAAACAGCTTATATTGCTAGTTAGTTTCACTTTAATTAGCTAATGTGAGAATGAAAAAGTAAGATTAAGTGGGAGAAGGATATCCATTCTTAGCCTGTGGTTTATTCTGTTCACTTGGAGCAGCTTTTTCTGTTTTAATTGTTGTAATTTGGGTTTTAGGATCCATTTGAATTGCGTGTCAAGCTTTATCACTTTGCCAGAACTCAAAAGCATTATTGTTCTAGAGCTGCTTATGAGCAACTTCATTGAAAAAGTTTTTCTAGGAAATTATTTAGCATGTACTTACAATACTTCGGTAACAGCTTAAAAGTTTGAATGAATTGCCCTTTTTTGGATTCTTTCTCTTACGTTAGTTTCCATTTCTTAGTTGATAAGTGAATTATTTATATTTCCTCGCAGGCATTGGCAGCATTAGGACTAAAAACCGGTGGTACTGTCCAGCAGCGTGCAGAGAGGCTCTTCCTTACAAAGGTAATAGCACTTCAGCTCTCATACAATGATATGTTTTTATTTCTCTCTCTCTCTCTCTCTCTCTCTCTCTTTAACTGTTTTGTAATTCTGGCATGAGAGAATTTCCATCTTTGGTTTACTACACTGAATTAATTGGGAAATCTTCAGTATCCTTTGTCCTTGTTGAAGGAAATCTTGACTACATCTAGGATGCAACTGGGCATTTACCGTTATTTTGAAGCTTTTGGACTGGTTTTGAGAAATCTGCATATTAGACTCTATTGCTAGAATTTGCTTAAGGGAATTAGGAGTTTATGATTTGGAGGCATGGTAGAAAAGAAAATAGGTTTATGGATGAATTTGGGCTGGAAGACAGGAATTAGTGTAGATTGAAGGACAAATCAATGCTGAAGCCTGATACAGCCTGGGATTCTAGGTTGTTATGTTGCAAAAAGTGGATGGGCTAACTATAGATTGGGTTAACAGTGATTGTGTTTTCCTGAAAGTCTAGTATCAAATAAATTAAAAATATATATATTCACTGTATCTGTATATTTTATGCAGCACACACCTTTTGAAAAGCTGGACAAGAAACATTTTGCAAAAGGCTCTCGTAATCCAGACCAAAATGGGTCTACTGCAGTTCCACAGGACATTAACAGTCTGAAAGATGTTGCGTTGATGGAGGCCAAGATGAAGAAACTCTGCGATTTACTGAGTAAGGTTAGTTTGTTGCTTACTTTGCCTCACCATCTTTGATGGAAAATTTGAAATATGAGGAAAAGCTATTGCAAAGGTACAATATTCTTCTGTTTGTATTCCGGATATTTTAATTATAGTAGACCATATTTAATTAATATTTCTGTGACCTTTTGTAGACAATTGAACAAACAAAAGAAAATGTGGTGAAGAAGCAAGCTTTGACATATGAGGAAATGGAACAAGAACGTGAGGAGGTAAGTTGATCTCTTAGGTATAGCCATTCAAGTGCTGCCGGTACTAGGACAAAGTTTCATTGCCCATGTTGGGATTTAACAACTTAAGAGTGTAATTCATGTACAACGCCAGCCTTCAACACCCTGTAGGGATGGCAGTAGGTATAGTTTTGGATGTGGGGACCTGTCTGCACCCATCCACTCGGTGTCAACCCTCTTCTAGGTCTTGTGGACCTCATTTTCAGGTGGTAATTGGCTGAACTTACTCTATTAATAAGGAGCAGAAGCAGTTTGGCTTTCTTCTTAGTGTGAAATGCCCCTTTTTAAATTGGATAAAATTAGGAAATTTTCACAATTTCTCTGATTGTGTTTAGGACACAAGAAGTGTGTGTATGTGTGTTGGGGGGGTGGGGGGTGTAACTGATGCATGCTTTGGTTTTTCACTCTTCTTCTACCATTGACTTGGGATGTTCATTGAAAGGATGTGTTATCTCAAATTGGCCTTCCTTTTTTCCATCATAATGAGGCACCAGCATTTGGGCAACCACCATGGTTAACCAACACCTTTTGAATTATCAGTCCCTGTGTTATAACCAAAAAAAAGGGTGAAGAAAAGCAGAAACTTTTACTCTTGGAAATTTTAGGCATCTTTGCTTTCTGTCTGTTGTGGTTTCTGACAATAAATGATTGCTTTCTAACAGGAAGAAACACAAGTTGACACGGAAAGTGATGAAGAGGATCAACAGATCTATAATCCTCTTAAATTGCCAATGGGTTGGGATGGGAAGCCAATTCCTTACTGGCTTTACAAGCTTCATGGTCTTGGTCAGGTAATATCTCGTACTAATATTTGTGTGTGATGTGAGCTTTTTCATGTGTAGTAACTAGGTCTACTGACAGATGACTAAACAAGAAGCAGTGAAAGCTTGAACACAAATGAAAACCGTTATCTTATTTGTTGTTTTCTTAGCTCATAGATGTACTATCCTTGATGTTTAACAACTCCTACTAAAAAGGTTGATGATTCTCTGCACCTGCCTTTTCTTCTAATTCAAGAGGAGAGGAGGAAGGATGAAGAGGGTGCAGAAGGGCATTTGAATTGTCTTCATCCATTTAGTGCAAAAAACTTCATGTCTTAGTCACAGGATCTCTTATATAGCTCTGCCCTCCTTTTCTTTTTATTCTTCAGGAATTTAAGTGCGAGATTTGTGGGAACTACAGCTACTGGGGCCGGAGGGCTTTTGAGAGGCATTTCAAAGAATGGCGCCATCAGCATGGCATGCGATGCCTCGGTATTCCTAACACTAAGAACTTTAATGAGATCACAAATAT